TTCCCCCCCCCTAAACTAAACACATGCATTACTTTGAGCTTTGTTCTCCGTTCAACAGGACGGGACGGTGATCATCCACACTGTGCGCCGGGGTCAGTACATGCGCTGCTTGCATCCACCGTGCGACAGCTCGCTGCCGCTCTCTATCCTCCACCTGGCTGTGTCCTGGGAGGGTCACATGCTGGTTCATACCTGTCTGGAGGGCAAAGCAACACTCAAGGTGTGTGCACATTTTAAGTTTTTAGGCTAACACACAATCTAAAAGGTGGGTAGGACTCTCTGCACATCTCTACGTGTCTGTTTTTTTTGTTTTGTTATCCACAGTGACCAGATCCTTGTCTCTGACAGTCAGAGCAGGCCAAAAAGCTATAAGCTGACTCAGACCTCTACATTTAAATAAATATAAACTAATAATTACAACACAGTCCACGTGAAACGCAGAACAAGCCACCATGGAACAGACCTAATCTGACCAGCAGACACTTAAAGATCACATTGATAACTGGGCTTAGACTAGTAAGTATGCGCACAGGTGAGAAGAAGGGAGCGTGAGAAATGCAGCGTTTCAAGGGCATATGTGCTTATATGTTGGTTTATAGTCAGACTTCTTTTAGATTAAATCTGAATTCAGATATATAAACTCCTTTGACCTGCAGTTAAAGTTTTAAATGTTCTTCTGTTCCCCCCTCTTGCCAGGATAAAAACGCCCTCCACCTGTACTCTGTAAATGGGAAGCACCTCTGCAGCGAGCCTCTGATGGAGCAGGTGACAGACATGTGTGTTTCTGGGGAGTATGTAGTCATCGGCAGCGAGCAGGGATACCTGTCCATCCGTGACCTCTACAGGTAAACTTATAGAAACAATATTGGTGATTTTGAATCAACATTAGCTGTTGGTATTTGGCTCTTCCAGCAGTTGTTCTGTTTTATAAAGCCTTTCATCGAAAGCTTTGAAGAGTAGAGGCGTTTTAACTGTTTCGGAGCATAACGAGCGACACAGTCCCAAATAAAAATTGCTCGCTGGCAGCTGCGCGTCCTACATGCATGGAAAGGTTACAGATATTAACCTCGAGCTTGTTTCTCCTCCGCAGCCTGTCTCTGTGCGGAGAGCCCATGGCCATGAGGGTGCCAGTGTGCTGCGTCTCAGCCACCAAGGAGCAGAGCCATGTGCTGGTGGGACTGGAGGACGGCAAGCTGATCATCGTGGCCGTGGGCAAGCCGGCGGAGGTAAAGAACTCGCTGCGGAACTACATCGCTCAGAGCCTTGAGGGATCGCCGCTCATGGCGTCCCCCCTACTGGCCCCGCTCCGCGCTCGTTCACCAACACGCCTGCTCCACCAACGTGACCAACTGGTGTTCAGCCCCACCTCCACCTCCCACAAACCTTAGCAAGCTCTAGTGCTGTTCATCCCCTATAACACTTTTATTGCTATAGATTTAACACACACACACACACACACACACACACACACACACACACACACACACACAAGACCTGCTGCACATATACCCCACGTTGACCTTTTAACCCACAGTCACCTGTTCTTCTCAGGGATGGCTGTCTCACACAGTCATATGGCTTCCTCACAAAACAACTACACAGGCACACAAACACATCTGAGCCACATTCCTTCAGCCACTAGAACCACAACTGTGAAATCGAAGCGACTTCTTGTGTACACCTCATTCTGTGTTTTTGTTTCTGTTTTGTTTTTTCGAATACTCGACATCTGTGCAAAACTCCATCCGATGCTGTCTACCTGAAGTGTCATTACATTCTGTGTTTTGAGTGTGCTCTACGGACTATAACAAAAAATGCTGTGAAACAGACTAATTAACGATTCTGCAAACTCAAGCCATATTTACAGTGTAGCTACAATCGAATAATCACTAATCCTGTGCCACACTGGCTTAATATGATCATGTAAATAGTGTGTTAGCACACATGTAGGAGGTTGATCCAGACAGTCCCCCTTGGAATCACTGCGCCTTCCAGTTTTTTTATCTTTTCCATTCAAATTGACTCGCACCAAAGTGACTCGAGCTTTGATTTGTTTTTCTTTGTTTGCCTCACTAGTCATTTAAGCTCCAATGAACTAATCGATCACTCATGAATCATGTTACCCCCTCACCCCCCTCCCCCTGTTTCCTTTGACTTCGTGCTTTTCTTTCCCCACTCTTCCCCCCCTTCCTCCGCCTCACTTCTTCCACCTCCTCCTCCACTCTTCCCAGATGCGTTCGGGCCAGATCACACGGAAGCTGTGGGGTTCCAGCAAGAGATTGACTCAGATCTCCTCGGGGGAGACGGTGTACAACACCCAGCAAGACCACAACTGACCCGTTCCCCGCCTGTCCCCCGAGCCTTTAAACCATCCCCTTCAAGCACGTCGCACATTGTCATTTCATATCCGAGCAGATTCTTTCTCCCATCACCTCCCACGGTTTTATCAGGGGGTAGGTTTTGGGGTGCAGGAGCACCACAAAGCCTGCATGCCCACATGTGCATTTGAGTGCTCTTGCTTTAGATTGTGATCACATGGCGCTGGCGCCGTGGTTCCAATGCAGAAGTAGCGCCAGCCTCAGCAAAACCACACCACTGCCCACTTCTCGCACACGCCACAGCTGCCCTCGTCATCAGAATCTTTACTACAGTCAGCCTCATTTAATGGTTAACTAACTGTTCTCTTGTATGTATGCAGGGATGGATGGATGTGTGTTTGCACACAATTTTGCTGTGTGCTATTTGAAAATATTGTTTCAAGTGGCCTTTTTGCTCCCCCACCCCCTCAGTTAGCCTTAGGTGCAGACACTCGGCCTGTGATCTGCAGGCCAGGACGATTCATGGTTGCCTCAAAGCTGCCACCACGCAGCCTTATGCAGTAAGACGGCTCCACCACTCACAAGACCAAACTGTCTGCATTTTTCTATCGTTTTTATATACCCGTGTGTGTGTGTGATCTTTTAGTGATGTTTTATTGGGAGTTTGGTTTATGTGTGTGTATGTCTGTGTGCGTGCGCATGCCCAGCAGCTTGGCATCTGTTCATATGCATGGCATTTTGGTTTTGAGATTAGACAAGAAATAGTGATGCAGAAGTCAGTTTTTTGTTTGTTTGTTTGTTTTTTCATTTTCGTTTTTACATTTGGGGTGTAGCTGACGTTTTTTGTTGAGAAGCATCAGAAAAGGTGTTTAAAGGTACTTTTTGTAGTCCCCCCTCCCCTTTCCAAAGTGTAACTAACAGTTTCACCACTAGGTGGCAGTGTTTTTACCAAACATTATAATTTTAACATTGTTATTAACATGATGCACCGTTTCCTCAAGAGGCATTGCCTGGTTAAACAATAAAATAATGACTCGCTTCATCACCTCGTGGGAAAATTGGTTGATATCTCGTGTAAACAAATCCATTCACATTCTGTTGGATGCTTCAGTTAATTTTTGTTGACGGGATTTTACAAAAAGTACTTTTAATGTTTTGTCATTAGCATATCATTTAAGATCTAGTTTTGTAAATAAAAATAAAAAACACTACATTCTCAATCACAACAAGCTTTGACATGAAGACTTATCACAGCAGTGCAACGAAAAACGACTATAACGTCACGTTTCTCTGTGCTTCATTGAATGTTTTTAAGTTACTTGAATCTGTTTCTATCCATAAGTGAAAGTAGCAGTTTTTTTCACACATTGTCTCATGAGTGACATATTTAAAAACTATTCTAACTGTTTAGAATTGAAGGAGAAAGTAGAAATCCTTAAGGGCTTTATGAGATGTCAGTGTTATCAGCAATACAGCTCCTTCATCGCATGCCTGTCGGTGCTTCCTTTCCTCTATTTCTGTCCAGCATGCCTCGCTCAGTCAGATCCTCTATTTTCCAGTCTTCCTATGGCTAAACTGGGACTGTAAATGGACTCCCTCTCTTCCCCTTCTAAATGCCTTTAGCTCTCATCATTGCCTCAAACCCCATCTCTCTTTTATTATTTGTGCTTCTCGCTCGATTTCCTGTTTATTTTAAAGTGACTGATTTCAGAGTTTTCCTTGTGTGGGGCCTCAAGAATGTTTGGGTCAACTGGGACAAACATGCATGTGAATGTGATTGCATTACTCTGTAATATACCGCAGTATGAAACTGCTGTGTGATTCATAATTTTGCACCATACCTGAGCGAGTGAGTGTGCGAGTGAGAGTTTATTTTCCGTTGCCAAATGTTTTTTTTTTATTCCTGTCTGATTCTGTGAACTTTTGCAGCCCTGTGGGTTTGGCACTGGGCACAGAGTCGCTCTAACGGTTATCTCTCTTGTTTGTTTGTTTTTCTGATTTTTGTATTTTGTTTTATTTAAATGTCAGTTTGGTGGATTGCAAAGACCAATCTGTGTCCTTCTTTAAGAGATTTCTGTGAAAGGTGCACAAAATGTTCTATTAATGCAGTTTATTTTTCTTTTGTTTATTCACATTTTTCATTCAAAGACCACTGTTTGAGTTATTCCACGACTGCAACAGAGTGCCTTTTATCCCAGCGTGGTGTCCACATAGAGGTAGATTTCTCCTTCTCCTTCGTCCCAAACTTTGTCGTGAATCAAGTGAAAGCAGCATTCCACACATTAGTCCGTCGCAGTTGCACCGGGAACCAAGAATATGGGACTTCCAAGAAAAATCAAAGTACTATTTTGTGTCTTAGCTACATTCTCTGTAACTGTCACCAAAATGGATGTGTGTATATCTGTGATTATTTATGAATACAGTATATAATGTACAGCATGATTTTTATTTTGGCGTCGTTAAAATGTACTTTTGCACTTTCCAGGTACTAAATTGTAACAGATTGTTTTAACTTTGCTCCCTAATCTGTAAAAACTGCTTTGTATAAACAAGTGGAAAATAATCATTAAAGTCTTGTCTAAATTCAACGGACTTTTTACTCATTTCTTAGGGAATAAACTTATAGGAAGAAAAAACGCACAGATGAGTAATATGCTGTGTTTTTATTCAAGAATGCACAATCAGCTTGTGGCAGGGAACACAAAGGTATCGTAGGAAATGATACCCGCGAGCCCGTCTCACGTTGCTTCTTTGCGATTTCTCTTACGTAGGAATCATGTACGTACAGATGGACGCTCTCTTCAGATCACAGTTGGCAGTAGTCCACCGGCTGTTGTCTGCAGTGTGGATAGGAAAAGGATCATAGTAGATTAGTCCAGCAGGATAAAGATAATCCCAGTTTTTTATTAGGTGTCTTATCAATTTTATGTGACACAGACAGTACTCTATAAAGCTTTGTTTAAAAGGTGCTTTTATGACACATGCATCACAAAAGGAACCCTTGTCTAATATAGCACTCATGACTGAGATGAATAAGAAGATCAGGCATTTTAGTTGGCAAACTATTATTATTTTTAAGTCTCTTAAAATGAAATGAACACTCCTTAATCAAGTCAGCTAAGCTTTTGGTCTGGTCAGTTCGGTAGCAGAGGGGCTTGTTAATCAGCTTCAACTGCTTGGTGTTTAACAACAGGGGCAACAATGAAACAACTGCTAAAAAAAGGAATGTTTTCACAGCTGGAGACCACTGATGTTTTTTCCTCTCATCTTTTTTTTTTGACTATTTTTCACTAGTTTTGCATTTAGCTAGGCTCAGTGTCACTACAGCTAGAATTAGGTGAGACTTGGACCCTACAGAGGTTGAACAGGCAGTCCAATTCCTCCAGGATGGCCCATCAATCACGCCATTGCCGGAAGGCTTGGTGTGTCTCCCAGCACAGTCTCAAGCATGGACGAGATTTCAGGAGACAGACAGTTACTCTAGGAGGGCTGGACAGGGCAGGGGAAGGCCATTACCCCTTAAGAAAGACTGATATCTGCTCTTTTGTGAAGGAGGAATGGCATGAGCACTGTTAGAGCTACAAAATGACCTCCAGCAGGTCACTGGTGTAAATGTCTCTGTCCAAACAATCACAACCGGACTTCATGAGGGTGGTCTAATGGCCTGACGTCCTTTAGTGGACCCCGGTCACTCCTCAGCACCATGGAGCCTGATTGATATTTGCCACAAAATACCAGAATTGGCAGATCCGCCACTGGTGCCCTGTGTTTTTCACAGATGAAACCCTGAGCACATGTGACATATGTGAAAACGCCTGGAGAACGTTGCTGTAACATCATTCTGAATGACAAGTTTGGTGGTGGGTCGAGAGAGGCACACAGACCTCTACAGACTTGGCAAAGGCACCCTGACTGCCATTACAGGTTAGGATGAAATACTTGGATCCACTGTCAGACCTATACTGGTGCATTGGGTCCTGGATTCCTCCTGGCCTGTGATGAGAGTATGCAGGCAGTTCTGCATACTCTCACTTGCCTGACCTAAATCCAACAGAACACCATGGGGACTTTATGTTTTCATCCATTAGATGCTGCCAGGTTGTACCTAAGGCTGTCCAGGAGCTCAGTCATACCCAGCCCCCAAATGTCATTTCATTAAGAGCATTTCCCTAGCATTGTCAGGTATGCTTACAAGCCAATACAAACTACAGATTGCCATTCTGAGGTACTGCAATTAATTACTTTGATATTTTGGTGTGGCTTTGAATTTAGCCCCCTGTAGGTTGGTAATTTTCAATTCCATGAAACGACGTGCATCCCTTCATTCCTAACACATTAACCAGTCCATATCAGTATAGATCTAATCTTATCTGATGTGTTACCAAAGTGTTGCTTTAATTTTTTTGAGCAGTGTATAAAACAGTACTGTACTTTTACAAGCAGGCTATTAAAGCATAAAACAGCAATATCAAGGTCTAAAGTTCAATACCATTACCTAACAACTCACACCAAATTAAGTGAGGCTGTAGCTACAACACAAAAGTGCTGTATTATGGTGGGGTCTTTATCTTACAACATAAAGAGCCTTCAAGGCAACTGTTGCTGCAATCTGGCGCTATAAAAATAAAACTGAATTGAATTTAAAGCAGAGGTGTTTCAAAGTTACTCTCTGGAAAATGCTGGAATAAATTAGTAATTAGTGTGAGAGTAGCGTGGTTCTTACCTAGCTCAAACATCTCCACGCAGACAGGTTTGTCAGTGTGAATGTTGGGGTGGCCTGGCATCCAGTCGCTAAAACCCCACTCTGACCCGTCCACCCATGACGCCTCTTGGTTCTGTGGAGTGCAGAATACATATGAAAGGTTAAAACAAAATGTAGTCTTAAATAACCCAATTGTTTGTAAACTGTCAATAAAAATAAAATGTTAGCATATGAGACCCTTTCTATGAAGAAAAGTATGGCTAATATGACCATATTACCACTTCACTTGTTTTAAAACATCACTTAGTCACAGGACACAACAATTGCAATACTTTAAGATAAAAGTTTGAAGGTCAATGTCTCATCAAGGTAAGAATAACACTATCAGTCCTGCTGATAAGATATCTGATGACACTCTCCTTGGCCTCCATTCATTGACACAGCTCATGACCAGACTGCTGGCATTACAGCCACTAAGAACTGGAGTAAAATTGTGCTATAATTAAGTAGAGAACACCCTGAAAAACACACTGTTGTTTTAGCACCACATATTTTGAGAAAACCTTATATACCTATATAGGTCGCCAATTAACATGATAAACTTGCCGTGACTGTGGCTCCCAGCCAGGTTAGCACAGGGCTCTTCTTACCACCCTTGGTCACCAGGGAAATCAGATGGGAATGCAAATCACCACTGGTTACAGAAGCAAGCTCGGCATGTGGGGCAAGAGTTCTGCATTTGGCCTGTAGATTGAGAAACATTTAATTTACATCCTTTAAATGAACAGGGGATTAGCTTTTTATATGTTTTTGGAATGGTAAATAGTTTAACCTGAGCATCCTTGAAGGACAGCGGTGTAGGGTTGAACTCATAGCACTTGTTGTTGATAATCTCCCCCTGACATGCCACTTTTGCTCTTTGGATGAAGCTGTAAAAGGGCTCGGTTCCCTGTCTGAAGCCTCTTTGGAGAGGCAGAAATGGTTCGGTTCCCTGTCTGAAACCATCTCTGAGTTTCATAAAGGGTTCGGTTCCCTGCCTGAAGCCATCTTGGAGTTTCAAAAAGGGTTCGGTTCCCTGTCTGAAGCCATCTCTGAGTTTCATAAAGGGTTCGGTTCCCTGCCTGAAGCCATCTCTGAGTTTCATAAAGGGTTCGGTTCCCTGCCTGAAGCCATCTCTGAGTTTCAGAAAGGGTTCGGTTCCCTGTCTGAAGCCATCTCTGAGTTTCATATAGGGTTCGGTTCCCTGCTGAAGCCATCTCTGAGTTTCATAAGGGTTCGGTTCCCTGCTGAAGCCATCTCTGAGTTTCATAAGGGTTCGGTTCCCTGCCTGAAGCCATCTCTGATTTCATAAGGGTTCGGTTCCCTGCCTGAAGCCATCTCTGACTTTCATAGAGGGTTCGGTTCCCTGCCTGAAACCATCTGGGAGATGAGAAGGATTTTCCACACGGACCCAACTACCACCACTCCTTTGGACCGGAACATCAGCATCGGCTGAAAGACAAAAGACATTGGAAGTAAACAAGCTTCTAAAATCATAACGATACTCTAGAGGTGACTTAGAGGGTACATTCGCTTAGCTAAATGTGATCAAAATCATGTTAAACAGGTTATCATGTTCATTTCTTTGTTCATGATGAAAAAATACCTAACAATTTATTTTTAGTTAAACCTCAATAATGTCCTGGGACTGAATAGAAAGGCAAAGAGTCATTACAATTAAAAAAAATCATCCTGAGGGGGCTCAATAGCTCTACCAAATTTGAGAGGATAATATGTTAGTTCTTGAGATGTCAGCTACTGGCTGCCCTAATAGAGGATGACCATTAACCATTAACCATTTGGATTCATTCACTGGGGAACGTGAATAAATGTGAAAAATGTAATTTGAATCCAACCAAAAGTTGTTGAGATATTTCAGTCTTGGCCAAATTGGCCTGTGTCAGTAGGATCATGTAGGTAGGAGGTAAAAGTAGGCTCTGTACCTTGTCTAAAGCCATCAGGAACAGATTGATGGACATCACTTGATGACTTCTTCAAACCTCTAGGGGTTTTGATTGGGACAGCTTGGAGGCCTGCAAAGGATTACAGTTACACTATATAACTATAATATACATGAAGCTGCATTTGCACACCCTGCCTTCGACACTGGTGTTCGACTTGTTTAACATTATAGCACTAAGCTTGCCAGTTGATGGATACATAAATGTGTGGCCTTTTAGGTCAATTATTAACTATTGTGCAATGCTGATATATAGGCCACGACCTTTCTTTAACAGTGTGATAAATCAATGATAACGGTCAAAGTCTACGTTCTGTACTTCCATTAGGGAACTACAGAATGTTTACTGTCAGTTGTTTTGCTGCCAAGGCAAGAAACACAGAGCCAACATTAATTATGTCAAGGACACCTCAAAATAAATAAAACATTTGACACTGACCAGCCAGGAAAGTTAATATATTGACTGAACCCTACTGATGTTTCACATAATTGTATTAGTTTTTAAAGATAATTGAAATATAGGGATGGAAGTTTGGATATCAAAATGTTTTTTATATCTAGATCTGCTGTGTCGGAATTGCATGATTCTAAGATAAAATCTGTTCTGTATTTTGCACTTGTTTCATGAACTCATCATAAACTGATATGTAGAGAAATAGGCCCCTCTTCCGCGGAGCTAGCTCCAAGGATTCGGGAGACTGTAACCTTCTTTATGTTGAAGATTAGGCTTAAGAAAGCATTCTGCATTTAAACATTAGTCATTATTAATCTCGGCCTCTCTTCCACAGTGCATCTTTTGTCCTGTCTTTCTCCCATTACCCCCAAGCGGTTGCGTAAAATTGCTGCCGCCACATGAGCCTCGTTCTGCAAGGGGTTTCTCCCTGTTAAAAGGGAGCTTTTCCTTCCCACCATAACGAAGTGCTTACTCAAAGGGGGTTGTTTAATTGTTGGGGGTTTCTCTCTATTATTGCAGGGTCTTAACATTACAATATAAAGCACCTGAGGCAACTGTTGTTGCGACTTGGCAACAACATTTGCCTCAGAAACACATCATCTGAAAATTAGGTGAGCAGTAATGATATGAAACAAATATCTAGCCACAAATAAATAGGCAAGTTTTACTGCACCAGTGAAAGGTGAAGGCAGTGAGATCTTACCTGACAGTGCCAGGAGCAGTAGCACTAACTTGAACATCCTGTAAGGAAATTGGAAGAAAATGTTTTACTTCTTCTTCATAAGCCTATACAACCTACAAATGTATCCAGGCTCTCCTTAACGGAGTTGTTTTTAACCTCGTTTGTATCCTGCTTACCTGAGGCTGTAATGAGGAATGCTGCAGCAGTTCAGAAAGAAAAGGCCACCTATTAATATGTGTCTTTCTTGGTCATAAACCTTTTTAAAGAGATTACTGATTAATCTAATCTAAATCTCCTGTAGCTCTTTATTGACTGATATTTGATGACCTTTGCCTTCACTCTAAACTGATAAAGATTTGAACTCAGCACTAAATGTTGGCTGTCACTGTCAGTCACTGGCCTCTGACCCAAAGTTATCAAACACCTAGTTTTCCTTGACATCCTATGATACTGTATGCATTCTGTTTTCTAGGGCATGCAAGCATGTGAAGGGTGAATAGCACTTGGTTTAATCAAGGGAGCTCAATCAATATTTGTGAATGTGGACAGAGAGAGACGTTACAACAGATGGTAAACGTGACGCTGGAGGCCACTAAAGGTTGTTTTGGGGGCGACTGAGGTATTTCACAGACCTTTGATGTTGGTGTAGAGCGCTTGTTCAACTTTGTAACCTTGTAGCCATCAGGACATGAGGTGTAGATGGTGGTTAATATTCATTGTCACTTTTTATTAGCAATGATTAAAAAGCGAGTAACTTCTAACTTGATTCTTCTGAAATGCCTCAGATTTAATATCTCTCGTGAACTCGTGGTGCTTAAAAGATGATTTAAAAAACAGTTCAAAAGTTCAAGGTCATTTTTGACATCACTGCTCTTCTTCGCTGGTCAGAGTAACGCGTGAAGGATTTGACCTTTATTAGGAAACACACTGAACTTTCTAGATGTCTATACTCACACACACGGCGGGGCGGTGACTCCGCAAGCAGCCCTCCACTCGGAGACGTGCTAACTCCGCACTACCGGCTGACGCGGTAATTTAAAACGAGCGCCAGTACAGTTTGATTGGCTAGTTTACACACTCACGTAAGCGGGCACGGGGACGTTTGTTCTTACCGGAATCAAGTTAGCGCCGATGACTTTCAAACTAAAAGCAAAATAATACATTTCTAATCATGAAGGGAAGCCAAGACGTTTGTTTTTTATTAACTCCCACTAGGATAACGGTCTTATTTTATTTTAAACTGTGGGTATCAAATTATAATCCATAGATGGACACAATATGTTAGTAGCTAAAACATTTATTTTGACGACATGGCAGGAAGTTGTATTGCGCCTGATTGATCTTTGTTTGTCAGGAACTACACACAGAGAGTCATGTTTGCGATTTGACTGCATAACCCTGGGCGGTGTTGATAGTTATCTGTCAACTTTGTGTTTTGTTGTGGAGTATCACTGGTGCTCCACTGCGTTGTCAGGTGATTGATTTGGGGTCTTAGACAACAAGCAGTTGCCATATGTTTCACGTTATGCAATGACAGTGACAGAGTGACTTTTTGCAGCTAAAACAAGCTAGCCCCACTAGCCTGCTCGATCGGTTCAGTCAAACTTCTTTAGGTCTCTGCTGAGAAGTTACGCGCTCGACAGGTGTCTGCCATTCGCAGCTCGTAAATCCTCTCCGCTAGTTTTCCAGCTTCATTTTTGTGCTTCAAATGGCTTTGGTAACAACGTTAAGACGGCTGGTTCAGAATAGTCTACGTGAATATTCGAGGAAGGCGTCGGCAGTAACCTGGCCTACGAAACAAAGGAGCTTTTCCATCGGCACTCAGCCTCTCAGGTAGGTTATTTTACTAAAACACCTACTATTAACAGGACTGCCTAACCTGGTGATGGATTGAGCCGCACGCCAAACTCCAGTCAAAAAATGTGCAATTTATTGGGGCTCTTCTTTCCAGCGCATTCCTGGCATGCAAAATCATGTAGAAAAGAATGTCCCTTTCACAGAGCAGGGTGTTTTGTGTCGTGCTGTTTCAAAACATTTGAAACTAGGCTCATGTTGTTTTTCAAAACGACAAAGCAGAAACACTTAAATTCCAGCCTAGCGGTGGGCCATTTACTTTAAGTCAGTTTAAATGGACTAGCGGGGAGAAAGCAAAGGAGAGGAAAGTCTACGTGCTTTTAGGTCTCAGGAGAACTAATTTGCAACTTAAATGTGCCAATATTCCAATATGTGTTGAAACACTGAGGGGCGAAATGTGTAGTAAAATATATGTGAGTGTGTAATTGGGTTGATGAGGCAAGATGAGTCTTAATTTAGTTCCTAGAAAAAGTGGTGCTTGAAGTCAAAGTGATTAAGAACACCACACGTGTGCAGCTGATGTTCTTAGGAGCAGGCTGAAGCCTCACGTGTCCCCAAGGTGAAAGTGAGCCATCTTCCCACTCAGGTACAAGGCTCTGACCACAGCTGGGCTTCCCAGTGCCAGCCACCCTGTTGGAGCGCACCATGACTGTTGACCTTGTGCTTAGGTTGAAGGTTTGTTTTTTTTTCCTCCAGGCTTGCCTTAAACTGACTGACACTGTCCTCGTGTCCTCACGTCGCCCTCCCTTAACTAACCAGTTTAACGTGATTGATGCCAAGTGCGAGTGTGTTTGTCCTGAGAGGTCGTGCAGTGCAGGCCTTTCAGGAAAGAGCATGAACAAGGTTTTGTTTTTAAAGCGGATTATAGGGGGCTTGTGCGTTAAATCTATGTCGTAGGTACGTCATTACCCCAAACCCCTCTGAAACTACATCGTAACCTGACATGCACTTTCCTTGAAATCTCAGACCATAAAGGACTTATAAATGGGAAATTTTAGAAAGTAAAGCGATCGATTGCATTTTATATATTTGTGCCATATCCATCCATCCATCCTCAAAAGTGTCAAAACAGCAGGGCCATTTAAAAGCAGGAAAGTCCATCACAGGATTTTCAGACACACTGGGCACAGCAGCTATGTCAGTACAGAACATCCTGAAAAGGAATGAAACCTCTTGCACTGAGCTACATGTATTAAATGGATTGGCTTGTCCAAGGATGGCAACAATAAGGCTTGCAGAACAGCGAGAGGTCATACTGCAATTTGCACTCATCAGCTGTAAAAATCTGAAAGCCTGAATGGAATTTGCAGAACGAGCAGAAGTCTACAAAAAGATATTGTTTGCCAGTTTACAGAGAGCTAATCTGGAGAAGTCCTTTGTTAAGAGAGGACTTTAACCAGATCTTAACCTAAATTAACCCACACTTCACCTCCCGAAGAGAAGCATGAAGGGAGGAATTGGTATGATGTTGGGAATTTAATTGCAACAAAATAAAAACATTAAGCTATCTGTCATTTAAAAAAAATTGTAGGAATATGAGAAATGGGTGTACTGATTTATTGATTTTTCACTCAGGTTCTTGTGTAACTTGAAATACCCCAGTCTTTTCTCCCTGTCTCTTCCTTAAAAACGGCTTCTTTGTGACAGCCACATTTACACTGAGAGCATTTATGATGAGGCTTCATTGGACAGTAGATGGATGAAGGTCCATCTATCAGGTCCTGTGTCAGTTACAAGGTCTGGACTGAAAATGAGTGAGAGAGCAGCCAAAGCAAACTTTGAAAGACCTTCAGAAAATCTGAAGAACTGCTGTGAAAATGACAAGTCTGGCTCCTTGGAAGCAAAATAAAATAAACATGGAGGGTGGCTTAAGACTTTTACACAGAACTGTAATTAGATTGGTTGCAGCAGATGGCCGCCCTCCCTCAGCCTCCTACTTCCTACTGTCACCAACTGCTTGCTCATAGGGGGTCGTCTGATTGTTGGGGTTTTCTGTATTATTTTAGGCTCTTTACTATATAACCTTGAGGAGACTGTTGCTGTGTTTTGGTGATATATAAATAAAATAGAATTGATTGTAAATAGCAGAGAATAAAAGTGCTGATTTCATGCACACATGTCTTCAGTGCACAGCACACATATACCCCCCACCATGCAGAAGAAAGGTGGCTAAAGAGAGCTAGACAAGCTTATTTCAGGATGACTTAATGAGCTTCACTATGGACCAGTATAATGTACATGATGAGTACTTACTCATTATCGAATAATGAAATTATAAGTTTAGAAATTAGCATAATAGGTTGACCTCAGTGTTGGCATCCGGTATCAGTTTTTAGACTAAAACTTGCGACTTGGCAAAGTTTGTGCTGTAGTTTTCTCTTAGAGTGATAGACAGGAAAATTCATTTGTACGTGTTATTTTTAGGTCCCTGCTGTTCCTTCATTGTGGCCTTATGCTGTAAATGTAGTTAAATATTGGATATCATGGGATAGCCCCCGCAACCCTGAAAATGATAACCAGAGAAGGATGGATGGTTAAACAAGTTCATGATCTCTTTGTGTGTGTTTCTTTACTCTTATTCTTTAGGATGCAGGTGGGCGGAGCTTGTATGATGCAGTTTACATGAGATGAAATTTTAGGGATCTCATTATCTGTAGCTGTTGGTCATAATATGAGTCTCCACCACAGTAACAGTATATGACAGAAAATAAGGAACAGTAAATGTTCTCTTTAGGGCACTGAGGCATCTTTTGACGTGAATGTAACTATCAGTAGTGGCCACCAGAGGGCAGTGACCTCTGGCAGTTGGACTGTGCAGTGCTATGTAGGGAAAACTGGATAACATAAGGGTCCAAACTTAGTAATTATGTCATATGTAAAACCTGTAAGTTTATCAGTCCAACAGTTGGGTTCCAGTGTTCCTGTCAATCAAACTAAGGTCATGTTTTTTTTGTGTCTCAGATCGGACAACAAGGTGACGGTCAACTTCATCAACCGAGACGGGGAGAAGATCACAGTGAAGGGATTGCCTGGAGATTCTCTGCTAGACGTTGTCATCAACGAAGACCTCGACTTTGATGGTTTTGGTACGCACAGAGCAAGTTTCACAGGCCTGGACTTATCGGAGAGCTGCATGTATGTGCCTGAGCTACTTCTCATCCATTGTGTGGAGTTCTAAAGGTGTGTGTGTGTTGTAGGAGCGTGCGAGGGAACACTGGCGTGCTCCACATGCCATCTGATCTTTGATGAGGAGATGTATAAGAAGCTGGGGCCCATCACAGACGAGGAAATGGACATGCTAGACTTAGCCTACGGCCTGACTGACACGTAAGGAAGCACACGTGAACACTCACAAGGCCACTGTGCTAAACTGTCATTACACTGATTTTAATTGATGTGATAGTTTATCGACACTCTGCTTATATAACTGCAAGGCCATGTTTTAAATAGTGTTTGGAGAACGTGGATCTTGGCTATGTCAGCTTTTGTGTGATTCATTCTTTGTCTTTTTGTGTTAATTGAAGGCAAGTGATTGGATAAATGATTAGAGGCTGAAGCTTTTATCACAGTAGTCCTACAGCCTGGCTGATGCAGAAGAATCAGTTCTGGTGGCATAATAAGATTTGTCAGGGCTGATCAGTTAATCATTGAGAGACAAAGGACTAAACATGAGAGCCTTCTTTCACTTGGGATATCAGCTTTATTTGCAAACAATGTTGGACACTGTTGTTAAAGCAGCTTTCAGTTTCAAAGCAAATGGCACATTCATGGCTGTCTAAAAATGAGAAGCATCCTTCATCAGACTTGAATTTAACATGCTTCTCATCTCCCCTCCCCTTTGCAGATCTCGTCTGGGTTGCCAGATCTGCTTGACGAAGTCTCTGGAGGGAATGGTAGCCAGGGTTCCAGAGAGTGTAGCCGACATCCGACAGACCAAAGATGGATCATCTTAACAGGAAACATGTGGCTGAGAACATGAGTGTAGAAAGTGAGGGTACAACACATGCGCACAGAGACGATGGTAGGTGGAATCTGTCAGTACTGCTGTGGGCTGCCATAGAACTCTTTCCCACTTTCTTTTAATAATAAAGTCATAGCCTACTAAAGTGAGCTCTCAAAAACCAGGAAGCTCAAGTATGCAACTTTGACTTTCAAATTAATTTTTTTATAGAATGTAAACCTGCAGTACGCAAGATTTAGACTAACAAGGCTGTAATGCTCGGCTTACAGGAGAAACCTGCAGCCCTTAGTGTGGAATCAAAATATTTATGAGATATAAACTGCTGTCTGTTCTGTTTATTTGAATCACTGCCTGGGGGAAAAAAAAATAAAAACGTTACTTACTTGTTGTACCTTTTCTTCTTGCCCAACTTCCTAATTGTGACTAAATTTACAATGTGAGCTCACGTTTATATCTCAGCACAGAGCTGGACCTTCTGGAAATGTACACACTTCCTCACATGAACAGTTAGTCATGTTGGCGGAGGACCCAAACTGCCAAAAGAAATGTGACTTTAGAAAAACTGACAATTTTGTGCCAATTTTGTCAGTTTTTCTAAACACTTTAATAGTTTTGTTGCATTTACTGGAATTCTTTTTTTTTTTTTTTCGGAATTTTTTGATTTTGGTATTTTTGGACTTCCATAAATGTCGACTCAACAAGGCTGAAGGAAAAGGTGGTACGCCTCACTGAAATGTTCACGTATTGAACAACAAGAAGTTCAACACCTTACAGATTTCTTCTGCTGTCCCCTGAAAAATGTTTGTTATTTTTGATCAGATTCTTCATGTAACCTTAACAATTTCATCTTGTTTGTGTACACACAACCATCTGCGTTAAAGAATGAAAGAAAAATAATAAAACTTCCTCTTTCTAACAGCGTGCTGAACTGTTGGTTCTTTAATGTCACGTTAAATGTGCTGTTTGTACAAAGAAAAAAGGACAAAGGGATCCATTCCCATGAAATCTCCCCAAATTAAAGCAGTAAGCACACAATTAATTTCAGCTCATTTTATTTGCATATGCAAAAGTATAGTGACAGCGTATAAATACATGTACATATATAACAAGGAGGCAGTAGACAATATTAGGAAGCAACAGTCCTGTGGCCTGTTTCGGTGTTTTAAGCTGCATAAGATGTAAAGCTCATAAAACATATGATTAATTTCAATCAGTACAGGCTTATGTGAACAGCATTGTTGGCAACAAAAACAAAAGAAGCTCTAAATGTTGCTGCTGCAGTCATCAGTATCACAGCAGGCTGATGTGAGTGTTAATGCCAAGAAGCATTTGACATGAACTGCTCAGCTGACTGTAATCAGAAACGTCTCCATGTTAATATTTATCCAAACACTAAATCTGTTCACTAAAAAGCATTAACGCTGGAAAATAGTTAAGCTGCTAACAGTCGACATGATCCCGAGCAATGCTTGATTTCTGGGGAGCATTCTTCACATATACAGGATATACACGTACGGTTTGTTTAAATATACTGAATGATGTCATGCTTTTATACCTTTCCAACAACATGTCACAAACTAGTCTACCTACACATTTACGATACTTCTGAGTATTGTAAACAACTGAGCTGAAGCCAAACTACCGATCAACACACAGACTGAGCTGTAGTTCAGAACCAGACTATTAAAACGTAGAGGCAAAGTCACAGTGTGTACCCAGGCTGCATTTACACTATTTATAATATGACTATTAATTTCAATAAATCATGATTGTACCACCTGCTTTCTGCAAAACTGTGGTTGAAGTAACATGTGATACCAAACACTGCATGTTGCCCATAATCTGTTTAGCCTGCTTGGGTGGGACTTGAACCAAAACAACACAGTTTTTCTGAGCTGCAGTTAACCAGAAGGCATTTCTCTGAGTGAGTCTTTGTTCATTATGAAGAAGGCAATGCCAGGTGTGTTTTAGATTGGCAGGTTTTAACTTTGGCCTGATGTACATTGGAAAAAAAAAAAAAAATCAAGACAAATTTTTCTGCTTTGATCAGAATGAATGTTATTTGAGCTTATTGGTTATACATTAGAACACTTTTTGCATGTGTAAACCCAGCCTTTAGGACATTTAAGCAAAGGGTTAGGGGGAGATTCACTTTACTTTATTGGCATTAAGCACTAAGCATAAACTCAAACACACTTTTACTTTTTGCTCCATGTCCACCTTAGCCAACAGATTACATTTCATGTGGTGTTCCAGATAGCAAAATGCTCCCAGTGACACCAAAGCCTTAGTGTGTGATGACGGAGTTCATTTTAAGGTTATGATACGACCACTGTGCTGAAACTGAAATGCTCTGTTTGTTCCACTTGTTGGAGCGATGCTGTACTTCAGTTTGTTTTCACCAACTCATCAAACGTAGGATTCCTCAGCAAACAGGAGCTGGTCAAAGTCTGGCTCTGCTGTGGGATCGCTGCATCTCTTCACCCACTCCCTGCGGCTCTCCACCAGGGCAAGCGCCACCTGGTGGCTGCTCTGGGGATTGCTTTGGGGGTGAGAGGAGAAGTAGTCCCGCACTGCTTTGGTGGCACAGGGGGAGAGGCAGTAACGGGCCTCTGATGTGCCTCCTTGTGAATCCACCCCGGACACTTTCAACCCCGGGTCACTGGGCAACCTTGCCCGGGTGAAGGTGGCGGCTCGGTCCACAACTTGACGTCCCGGTTCGGAGCCGCGGCGCTGATATAGCCGGGCGTTGTGGTCCTGCTCTGTGGATTGAGACTTGGGTCGCTTGAATAGGGACAGTGATGGCCCCCCGTGCTTGTAAAACACAGACGGCAATGGCTGCTTCTGTTCAGTCTCATCACTTTGCACAGCACACTTCTGGGCGCTGGTATCACTCCTGGGATTTTTCTGTCTTAAAGTTATTGGGGCCTCTGGGGAATGGAACCAGGCAGATTTAGGGAACTGGAGGTTTCCTGTAGAGTGATAGTGTGAAGGGGGACTGGAGGAGTCCTGCTTGAGGAGCCCTGCTTTTCCCTTCACATGGCTCCCTCCTGCTCCACCTGCATCTTTGGGAGGTCTACAGGATGTTCTGGGTTTGGTTTGGCTGCCTGAGATCAGGTTTGCAGCTCCTTTCTCACCTGCTTTTCCTTTTTCTGGTTTCCCAGGTGTGAGCGACTTATCAGAAGGCCCTCCCTGGGTGGAGACAAAGGTAGATCACATAAACAACTGTCGGAAGTTTTAGTTCTTGAGCTTTGAGAGCTAATGTAGTCCAGAGAATCTAACCTCTAAGGTTCATCTATTCATCATTCAGGCTCTTCTAACTCCATCTTACAGTCTTTATACAGTAAGGGGAGCTGGCTCAGGCAAGTTTCTGAGGGAATATTGCTTCCATCTGTTACTTGGTCAGCTTTAGGTCAAACAGTCCAAAAAAGTTTCTAATATTATTATCAATACTCGTAATAATGCAATACAACAGGGATATAAATAAAATTGAACTGAATTATGGCAAACCTTGACGTGGACAAAACTGTTGGTAACTTTCCATTATAGAAAGAAAAACCCACAACAGTCACTGCAATAACTTGAAAAGGACACAAGCAGTATCCATTCATCCAGAGTAATAATTCATATTGGTTTACTGAAAATTAACCGCTCCAGCGGTCTCAGGTTTGAAGGGTGCACGTTAAACTTTAGTCACAGGAACATCAAGCTGTGTGGAGTTTTATAGCCTTTAACCACAATTCAAAAGTGGTCCACACATCAGGGGTGTCAGTGGTGTTCGGATAAAGTTCATCAGAGGATAAAGTCTAGGCTAGGTGAGGTGTTATCCAAATAAATGTTCCAGCTATCTGGCACCAGAAACACTAGTTTGTCTCATTCATGTCACCAGTGTAACACAGCACTTCATTTTTGTATTAAGCTGCCACCTGTCACACAAAACAGCTCCCCCAAAAAGGTTTTGGACAAAGTGAATGGTTGCCTGTAGGTCAGTGGTGTGAGACGTTTACATGGTGGGCCACATACAGCCCGCTTTGATCTTAAGTGGGCCAGACAACTGAAACGCTGCTTTCTGTCAGTGTAAAGAAGTCACATATTTAACTGTTTTTCTGCATCATAAAGAGAAAGCTGCTGTCAGAAAGGAAGACCTGTCAGCATAACTATTTGGACTTAAATTGTAAGAATTAAATGTGTAAAATTACAGAAAAGGTTCTCTTAGCTGATCGCCCAGACTGTCCAGTTTTTTTTTGTCTTGTTATTTTTTTAACTGTAGTCATAAAAAAAACCCAGACGTTTCTATAGTAGAAGGTGAAAAACAGAAACTTTTCTGTCATTTAATTGTTTATTGCTTAATGACTTTGTGTAGTATGAATGTTCATAAATTATAAGTCCAAGATTTCTGCTTATGCTTGCTTGTGATGTGCCATGGCTCTGTGCTACATGCAGACATTTCTGCATCTCTGCCATTCAAAGACACTTTGCATATAGTTTATTTTATATAACATTCAGTACAGAACTCTACATTTTCAAGAAAGCAATTTTGTATTCAGTGTTTTCATAAAAGCCTTATTTTTATGCATTTATTAGGGAGAACACATGTGAGGTTTAAGGCCTGGACAAGTTTAAACCTTTTGTCCTCCACAATGGAAAAGTGCCTAATTGTTTGACACTCCTACTGTAGGGTTGTCAGAACAAATAACTAAACTGCTAGTGCTAGTGCTGCTAATGGTAAGCATATACTTGGCTTTGGTTCTCTGGATCGAAACTTCAATTCCATTCAATTAAATTTTATTTATACAGCACCAAATCACAACAACAGTTGGTTCAAGGTGCTTTGTATTGTAAGGTAGACCCTATAATAATGCAACAGAGAAAACCCAACAATCATATGACCCCCTATGAGCAAGCACTTTGGCGACAGTGGGAAGGAAAAACTCCCTTTTAACAGGAAGAAACCAGGCTCAGGGAAGGGCGGGGCCATCCGCTGTGACCGGTTGGGGTGAGAGAAGGAAGACAGGATAAAGACATGAAACTTGAAATGAGGATCCATTTTTTATAAAGTCTTACCTTCCTTAATCACAACTTTTTACAGGCAAGCAGTCCACACAGCAGAACTAAAGTCAAAATACTTGCTATTGCCATGTTTCACAGCTCACTAACAGCATCTGGTTGATACTGCCCTCTGGTGGTGTGTTGTTGCAGTGCATTACACAATACCTTCTGGGGTAGCAGTTAAACAGTGGGCGTAGATGTTTTTAGATCTTTTTCCCTCAAGAAACATTCCTAATTAGAGGCCACATTTCAAATGAGAGAGCGAGATCTTAATGATTTCTCTGGATACATTTAAAGGTACAAAGTACAGCCGGAACTTCATTCACTACCTCTTTAACAAACTATGTTAAAAAACCCCCCACTTATGTTAAACTATGTTTAATGTCCAGAAAGATTTTTAGGACATTAAATCACACGGGTTGATTCTTCACATTTTTTGATTGCATAAATTCATTTTGAAATTCTGGTAGGAAAGGAAGGGTGTGTGACTTGAACACAAAGGTTCCCTGGTCAACTACTGCAAGAGGATAAGGAACTGTAATCCACTGGAAGAGGTCAAATGTCACTGACCAAAAGCAATTCAAAACAAAGGCATATGATTGAACACAACATTTAAATGGGACTGCATTTAAATGCTTTGTTTTGAATATGATATGGGATGAAAATGTAGATTTGAATGATTTTACACCCAAACTGCGGTTTTACATAAAAACATCACATACCACTGCTTCACTTACTGCAGTCTTGTCCTCTTCTTGCTTCTCCAAGTTGTCTTGTTGGGTGAGTGAAAGTCTCCGGTCTTTCTTCAGCCATGAATTTGGGTGGAGACCCCTACAGCCCATTAATGTCCCCCAGCTGACGGGTTCTTTGGGTGGGGAATTTTTGGGGCAAATCTCCTGCTCTGCATGTTCAGTGGAGGCCAGTACAGAGCTGATGGTGAGGGGTGTAGAAGGGACAGAGGTGGAAAGAGATCCAGAGGAGGAGTTGGATGGCAGATACGTCTTTTTTGGGTAAAGGCCCCTTCTGGTTGCCCAGGTCTGGTCACCACTTAGGGAGTCTAGAGAATCAGGGGAGGAGCGGGTTGGTGCAGGGGAGGTGGGGGTGGATGAGAGGCTGGAGGAGCTGGCTTCCAACCCAGACTCACCTCCATACCTCCTATTTTGAACTCTGGAGTGCATTCTGGTGACTGTGTGGTTGCTAGGCTCCTTGGAAAGCTCTTCCTCACCGTCTTCATCCTCACCAGTGACACCATCTGTGCTGGCTGATGCGCATGGCCGAAACTTGGCCACATATGCTATAGCTGGCTCTGAACGCCGCCTCTGCATGTTCCGACCCTCTAGGGACAGCGACTCCAGGGTGGAAGAGGTGTCCACAGTTGGTGCATCCTGCCTGGGGCTGGAGAGGTCTAGTTCCTGTCTTCTGTGTCTTCCCAGTGGATTGAGACCTGGTTCTGGTGCAGTATCCTGGTCGTAATCACTGAATGTGAGGATGGAGTCCAAGCTCCCTTGGAGGGGTTTAGGCTGGAGGCACCTTCTGTTGCAAAGGCCTGGTGAGCCACCACTGCTGTTGTCTAACTCATTCTCGAGACTGTCATAGGATGAATCGGTCAGAGGGTAAATCCAGGATTCTGATAATCCCCAGGAAAATTATGGATAATTGGATAAGAAGAAGAAAAGAGAAGGAGGACACACACTATAAGAGATGTATGTAGGTGGGTGGAAAACAAGAAGCATAAACAATATTGTTAAATACTCTATGCAGTGATGTTTTTGTTTTCTGAGACCTTTATAGAAACCACAAAGTCCTTTGTTCTTACTCTTTGACTGTCTGTGAAGACATTTGTTCACCTTTATCTTAATTCACCTTAATTTACCAAATCTGTACTTGCACTCCTCAGTGAAACTGGAATATACTTCTCGAAACAGAACAAAAGTTCGTGAGAGCTACAGAGGGAGGAGAGTAATATTTGCTGAATATAAGACACAAAGATACAACGTTACTAGCCTAACTTAAAACCTTTGTGAGTCTCTCACAAAAGCATCTTCATGTTGTTATTCAACACTGTGCACACAACGGTTAGCAACATCACAAAGCACTTCCATGTACTTTGTACAAAAATCTTTAGTATTTGATCATAAAATAAATAACATTACACACCGAAACAGCTTTTAAAATACAGCTGTTAATGGAATTCGGATTAAAAGTGCTAGATAATGCTACAATACATTGTTTAGGATTTTTCAGAATCTGAGAGTCTGTTTCTTTTCTTTGACTTTAATAAATACCTGTAGACTCACATGGCATGCAGTAAAACCAACACAAGAGCACTGTGTGCTGACAGGTATGCTCTTAAACACAGATTTCAGGTTTATATTAGCAGACTCATTTGTAATGAAGTAACTCTTCTTTGAATAAATATATTGGTCTACCTGATCAAGTAGCATTTATTTTGGGCAAGCAAGGCAATTAGTGCTTGTCCAGTGAAATCTAAAGATAGACCTCAATTAAAAAGTACTAAGTGAAAGCAGTTTATCTCCTTTCTTCTCAAACAGAACTCTGCTCGGTTCTCAGGATGTTTGCATCTATCCTTTGAAATACTGTCATCTTGGGGCCACAATTGGTTATAATCTTTTGAACATAGCACATCCCTCTTAGCAGTAACTTGATGATTGTCTGTAGCTGATTCATTTAGTGGACATCTGTAAATTGTAGCTACATCAAAATAACCTGGTTTACACTCCCTCAAATGGGCTCGGCACTCCTTCTTTAAATATTTATACCATGTCTATGTCATGAAGAACTTGTATGAGTATACAATGCATAAATGTATCAATTCAAATGCCATTAGACACACTTCATCCGTCAAATAATAGCACTCTTACCAATTAAGACTGTAGACATTTTAAACAAGCATTCAAGCATTCAGTGGCAACACAATTATTCAGGGTGATGAATTAGACATAAAGATAACAGAAAGTTCATTAAAGGCTCTCCAACTTGTGAGAGTTTAGCCTTGAGCAAACATTTGTCTCATTTGTTTGGGTACCTGTTCCCATCTCCTCACTGTTGAGTCTCTGTGGAGGCCCTCCGAACAGGGAGGAGGGATCCTCTCTGAGAATCTCCTGACAGTGTTCAATCATGAACTTCACCAACTCACAAACCTACAGGCAGAGAAAAGTGGATACTAAGCCAGTGTAGTAACATAGGTCGGAATGCCAGTCTTCAAGGCTGCGTGAAAGCACTTTAAGCATTTACAGTAAGCCAATTATCTGAGCAGATACTTGATGTTACAAAACTTCATACTATGTGGAACATTTCTCAGACTTTGCTCCGTTCCCGTCCCAAAAACAAGAAGTCAAACTGGTTGGAAATGAGAGCTTTCAGCCTCTATGAAGCAGACATTCCAGTAAGAAAACCTTGAAGGTGTTTAGTGTTATGCTGCTCTGACTAACACAAAAACAACTTTCAGTTGACTGTTTAATCAGCTTAATACGTTCTGTAACTAACATAGTAAAGACTTGAACGTGGGTTCATTTATCCTAGTCTCCATTAGGAAGATATTTCCCCCCAGACCAGCAGATCTGAAGTGGCAACTTCTCTGCTCTTTGTCACTGTTTTTGTTGTCTGCAGGTAAAAATAATGTTTTCCTTGTGAGTGAACTGTGAAGCTGCCCAGACTGATGTATTTAATTATGTTGCACTGATCCTACGATTCGAAGTCATCATAGGAGTGACAAACTCTGTCTGAGGTTTGGGTCAATTTGCAAAGCTGTTAAATTGATATTTCACCTTAGAGAAATTTTTTTTGAACAGGGCCTTGAGGAGAGACTCAGTATGGCACAATTGCATTCATTTAGCAAAACTTTGCTAACAAAAATTCTGATGTGATGCTGTTGATCTTCCACACTCACCTTCTTGGTTCCTTCTCCCTCCACCTCAGGGCTACACGGCACTCCAGGTGGCCAGAGCATGCTGGGAGCAATGCACACTGACAGATTAAAAGTAGTCATTTGGTTCTCCTGGGCATTGCCTTGGATACCATGAAGAACAGCCAGCAGGTAGCGTAGCAGGAGTGCGTTCTCTTTGGGCAGCCGGCAAATCATCCTTCAGGGAGACAAAACAGTGATTGTGTAAAATGTGTTTTAGCTCCTGTGATTAATGTTCAAGCAGTACAGAGCGTGTTGTATGTTACCTCTGTACATCTTGCACCTGCTCCTCCTCCTCCTCCTCTTCTTCCAGCACCTCCATCCAGTCTTCATGGAGCTCACAGCTCAACAAGCTGCCCGGGATGCTGCGCAGGAAATCCTGAAGACAAGCATGCACCAACAGTAAAAGAAGAAAGAACATATCAATCGTGAAAGGAACAATTTTTTGTTCCACATAAGAAACCCTTTTGCTCCTCCCTGAGCCTGGTTGTGCCGGAGTTTCTTCCTGTTAAGATGGAGATCTTCCTTCCCACTGTCGCCAAGTGCTTGCTCATATGGGTCCTGTGATTGTTGGGGTTTTCTCTTTATTATTGTGGGGTCTTTATAACATAAAGCCTCTTAATTTGACTGTTGTTATTTGGCACTAACGAGCTCAAGCCTTTATAACATTACATAATCACACATTCTGATTACAGTTCTGAAGAGTTCATACAGATCATACATCCAATCCACGACAACCTGTTTCTCAACCGAATAATTGGGTCATTTTAGATCAAAAAGAGGACTGATCTGAAGTGTCAAACTTGGATCTCCAAGGGCCAAAACCATGCACTCTGAATATACTTAGAAGGAGCTTACCACACAACAAACTCACAGCAAACAGTTTCAAAACCCTTTAAAAAAAAAAAATCAATAAAAAAAGGGCAATTTAAGAAAATTGCAATACACCCTGATGCAAAAAAACATAATGACATTTTATTCTGATCTTGTGGATACATATCTACCTGTATCACCCTAAACCCTCGAGGGTTGGTGTCCTGCAACTTTTCCATGGCTGTATCCCAATTCAGGGTCTGCAGCCTTAAAGGCCGCATTTTAAGGCCGATTACGTCACAGTGGTGCGCCGAAGGCTGTCCCAGTTCAAAGGCTGCTCGAAATGCGGCCCTCAAATGCGTCCTTCATTTCCCTGAATTTTAAGGCTGTGGCAGTGTAGACTTCGTGGCCCAACATATTCCACAATTCATAGCGCGGCAGTCGGTGTGGATAATTTTGTGGAGCGGCTGAAGAGTAAACTGTGAAAAGTAAGTACTGAATATTATGTCACTTATTTATGTGCAAATGTTTAATAATGAAGAACATTAAAACATTACTGTTGGCCACATGTCGGCAAACTTATTTGCCATTAGAGATGTTTGTACGTTCAGCTTTTACTTGCTTTTAAAGCCTTTAAAATATAATAATAGAATAGTTGACCTTAATCTTATAGAGAATGTGATGATTTTGTGGATAATTAAAGTCAGTCATATATCCACAAACACAACAAGCTGAAAGTCAGTGATGCTGCTCAGTTTGCAGTCCTGAATATCACGGCACAAGCAGGATTCACTGCACTGTTAATGTTAGCTGTGTTATATTGCTGCCTCTGTTCGGTGGTGTCGAGCCAAACGGACTTAAACGTGTGTTTGAACGAGCTGACGGTTCATTCGTTAAGCTGAAAGAAAGATGCTTTAATCACAGGAGTCACACATGTGTCCACTGCACCATCTGGGAACTCTTCTTGTTTAGCACTCGTAATAACACAAACACTAAATCCTCCTGTTTGTAGCAGTGTGTACACCTGAGACTGTCACCTGTCTATCTGTCTGTCCTGCACTCTCTCTCTTTTTCTTTCTCTCTGATTGTGGAATAAAAGTATGAACATGTGTTTATAAGTTACACTTGTGTTTGAATCCTGCAGCTTATCACACATTTGATTTCCATGTGTGACAACTGCAAGTGTCCCGAGTGAGGACAGACTGAGGGACCCACTGCTGCACATCATCTGTGAGGCTTTGCACCCCTGATACATACTGAAGGAACAACATTTGTCTCTTATGTATAATACATCTATATATACACTGTCAAAGATACTTGAGTGTCTTTGAGTGAAGATTTAAGGTGTTAGGACATATAAATAGCTGCAACTTGAATCTTTACTGAAGCTCAGTATTTGACACAGAGTTCACCCACATGTGCTGTAGTGTACCTGCACATGTGATGTGACAATAGAAGTGATTTGATTTGAGAGTTCAAACTCACTGCTATAATAACTAATAATGATTAATATAATAACTATAATATTGGCCATATCATATTTACACTGACTTTAGTCTCATGAACAACATCAACTATTTGTTATTTACTAGATTAATCTTATATGATTGTTCAGCACAGATATGAAG